TCACAATATATAATGACATTGTTTTGTAATAAATCAGTATGCTTTAATGATATTCAATTTGTAACCATGAAAATACATACTGCATATTAGATATTTACATGACGATTCATAACAGTAGCACAATTACAGTGATGAAGTAGCAACGAAAATAATTTTATGGTTGGGGTCACCACCACATAAGGACCTGTATCAAAGGGTCCCAGCATTAGGAAGGTTGAGAACCACTGACCTAGACTATTTTGTGTGTGTGTGTGTGTGTGTGTGAGTGTGCACAGTTTCAACAGAACGTGTGGTGGTGGTTGTCCGGTGCCATCAAGTCGGCGCCGACCCTCGGACACACAGCCTGGTCCAGCCCCACAACTGCTCACAAGTGCTATGTTTGAGCCCATTGTTGCAGGCACTGTGTCACTCCATCCTGCCGGGGGCCTGCCTCTCTTGTGCTGGCCGTCTGCTTCAGCAAGCGCGATGTCCTTCTCCTTGGGCACATAGACAAAGTGGCGGTGTCTTCTGCTAAAGAGCATTCTGGCCGAGACAGGTCTGTTCCTTCCCCCAGTCTGTGGTCCTTGCAGGTGCTTCACCAGCACTATAATTCAAACGTATGGATTCAGTATTCGTATGTCAAAGAAATAGTCCATGTAAGCAATTCACAACTATATTTGCGCCCTGTGATTCTCTGAGTAAAACAATCACAGGCAGGACTAAGGATTCTTGGTGGCCTGGTAGAGGAGAAGGAGGTCTAGGAAGGGGGAGTAGCACCCGAGGTGACCCTGCCAGCACTTCCTGGTGTCCCAGGAGGGAAGCTGTGGCAGTGCGCTGGGGAAGCCCTTCTCTTCCAGCTCTCGCTGAGGTGAGGTCCACAGCATTGCCAGTAAATACATCCCGACCGTGGAGACCCAGCGTTGCCGGGAAAGAAGAGAGGTTTGTGGGTCTCTCGCTTTCCTGTCTGTTAGAGTCACTGTCCTGACCCAGGTTTGGGCTAAAACTGAAGCCTGATTCAGTGGTGGAAACCCCAAGCTTCAAGGCCCGGCCGGTGCAGCAGTGGCGTGACTGTGGACAGGAAGTGGCGTGGCTGCATGCATGTGAAGGAAGGGCTTCCTCCCGCTCAGATGCTTTCTCAGCCAGCTGGAGGTTGTTGTTGGATGGGGGTAGGGGTTCAGGGAGTGGGGGCAGAGGGGAGGGACTTTCTCAGGGTGCCTTCCTTTTCTCTCCAGCCCAAGAAATACTAGCTCGGAGACTTTCGTCCCAAGGCCTGGCACACAGCGCCCATGGAAGAGAACCTAACAAACCCGCCCTCCGAGACTTTTCCTTGTCCTTCTGGAACCTGTGGTTTCTTGGGTTTAGACAGAATTGATCATTTTCCATTGGTGGAGTTGGGAACGGAGACCACCCCTAATGCTCCTGGGAGCTGGAAAATGAGCTCCTTAGCGGATGACTTCCGTGATGGGTTTTCCATCACCACCAGATGTAGTCCAGCCGGAGGAGGACCCTGCCCCTTAAGGCCTTCGTGGCTGGGAGTTTTGGAAGTAGGTCACCCAGGACCTTCTTCAGACGTGCCTCTGGTGGAATCGGACCACCAACCTTCTGGTGAGTAGTTGAATGCTTAAGCATGTGCACCAACCCGGACTTGGAACTCTGGAAAGTCCATCTAGGAGGGAACTCCACACTTGACCCTAGGCAGCCCTGGTTTCAGTTCCCTGCCTCCCAATGGACGATTTTGATTTCAGAAGTGGAGCAAGCCCTGCCCCTTCCACTAACTTGAAGTTCAAATGAATAAGCACACAGCTTAAGAAGGAAGGCACTTCTCTAGGCCTCTGCAAGCTGCCGTGGATTTAAACAAAGCTTGGCTGGAAAAGAATGGAATGAATGTCTCAGAAAGTGGCTACCGAGCCCTGGTGGTGCTGTGGGCCGAGCGTTGTGACTCACAGGTACCCTCCAATACTCAGGAGAAAGATGAGGCTTTCTGCTCTTGTAAAGAGTTACTGTCTCAGAACCCTTTGAGAAGGTCACTGTTAGTTGAAAGCCTGGAGCATAGTGGTTATGCGTTGGGCTGCTAACCCCAAGGTCAGCAGTTTGAAGCCACCAGCCGCCCCAATGGAGAAAAATGAGGATTTCTACTTCCATAAAGAGTTATAGGGGGGCTGCGAGTCAGAATTGGCTCAATGGCAAGGAGTTTGCTTGGTTTCAGGAGTCGGAAACTGGACTGGGTGGCAGTAGGTTTGACAGCAAAGGCAGTGGACTTAGGGTAGCGTTAGAAGATAGAGTTGACAAGACTAGGTGGGTGGGCCCACCAGGGATGCAGAGGAATCAAATAGATTTTGACTTGCAGAGGTGGGGAGCCTTTTTTTTTTTTTTTTTTGCCAAGGACCATTTGGATATCCAAAGCATCATTCTGGATCATACTGGTCAAACATTTAATTAACTCGCCCTTAATGAGATGACTAGAACTGCTTGCCTCAGGTGAGGTGTGGGATGCTAGTTGGTATTGCTGATTTTGTTGGTCTGGTATGACCTGAGGGCCGGCCGTTCCCCACCCCAGACTTACTGGATGGCAGAGGCCTTTTAAAGACAGAGCGAGGCAATGAGGAGAGCCTTGACGATGTTGAGTGGAAACACTGGTGGGACACGATCTCTGAGCCTGCAGGACAGCAGAATGGGCAGGGCTGCTCGGGAGGGATCCAGCAGGGTTCTGATGAGATGTGGTGGTTGGCACAGGGAGAGCCACAGCCATGTGTCAAAGAAGAGGCGCCCCTTTGTGCTCAGAAGCAGCATGTAGAGAAAGAGGAGGAAAACCAGATGCCAGGGGCTATAAACGTCATTTCCCAGCCTGCCTTGAAGCAATGTGGCCACATAACTGAATTCTAGCCAATGAAATCGAGGCAGTAAACGAGGCGCTATCATCTCCAGTTGAGAGCCCCTGGAGGGTGCAGACGGTTGAGACTTTCTGATGCAAACTAAACAGTTAGAGCTGTGGGTCCACCCGAAAGTACCATGGAAGAAAGGCCTGGCAATCTACTTGTGAAAAATCACGTCATTGGAAAGTCTATGGGATAGCAGTTTTCTCTGATACACACACAAGGTTACGCCTAGTCAGAGTCAATTTGACAGCAAGTGGTACTGGTCACTTCCAGGTTTGGCCAGAACCCCTCTCCCAGTGCCCTCCTGAATCTTCCAGTCAGAGCTGTGGGTTCAGAAGTGAGGGCTCTCCAACACCTTGGGGCATGGAACCACGAGCTGGGAGGAGCGTGGTCCCTAAGTGACCACATGGAGTCAGGAGACTACTTAAGGTCAGGCTGGATGGGGCTTTAGGAAAAGCTGGGCCAGCGGGGCCAGCAAGCATGGGCAAACGGGGTCAGCAGTGGAGCAGCAGAAACTGTAGGGGCCAGAAGCAGCCAGCAGACAGACTTCAGAAATCAGGGGAGCTTGAGGGGTCAGCAGGAGTACAAAGTGCTCGGGCAGGGCCCAGCAGTGTCTGCACGTCAGAGGTACAGGTCCACATGCACACACTCAAAGCCACATAGTCCCCTGGGCCTTGTTCTGAGGCGGGTCTTCACAAGGCCAGCCCTCCCCTGTACTGGACAGTTCCGGCCACACTTGTGCAGGCAGGACTTGCTGCCTACTGGTCACCAGTGGACCTCCTTGTTGCCCGGCTGGGCTGATTCAGCCTGACCCTATATACTGCACAGTGGAGACCTGGGGTCTCATCCTGATTCTGCTACTCGCCTCGGCAAAGCCCCTTCCTCTCTGTACCTCAGCCACCTGATCTGCAAAGAGAAGGGCTCGCACTGCAGGGCTGTAAGGGAGCCCTACACTGAAAGACTCCACCACTGGCCTGAAACCACAGCCTTCAGGAAGCTGTGGCCTGGTGTTCCCAGCAAGCATCAGCCTTCCCAGCCTCTGTCAAGGGGAATTTGGCAGCCATCGGCCAGTGCAAGTTAAGGAGACCAGGCAGGGTTCAGGCAGCAGCAGGGAGCCCTTTCTAGGACAGGGGGACTCCTGGGGAGTCATTGGCATTCTTAATGATATGAAGTCAGTAGACCCATCACCTCTGAGCAGAGCGATGATCCTTGTCTTTCATTTTTCCCTTTCTCAAGCATCTGCATCTGCAAGTAGGAGCTCTCCTTTCTGTTCTCATTTCTGGTTCCCTTTGTGATGGGACGGATCCACCCTCCACAACCCCCGCTTGTTCCAGGGAAGAAGAGAACTGGGGGGGCGGGGAGGGCTTTCCCAACGTGCTCTCCTCTCTGGTCACCTCTGACGGGCCTGCTTCTGCTTTTCCTGAGAGAAGAGCGCTGGACGGGCCTTTTGAAAGGAAACGGCTCGACATCCACCTAATAGCTGGTTGTTTAAATAAGGGAGCACGTTTGTCACCCACACACCCCCTCACTTGTGGCTCAGGCTCATATGGAAATGAACTGTGTTTGATCCGATCCCAACTGATGAGAGGGGGTGGGGAGCGGGGTGAGAAAACCAAGCCTGGACAGGACAGCACAGGCATGAGAGGTGACCACGATGAAAGACCAACATGCCCAGCGTGCTCCTGCCAACAAGCTGGGCCTGACTTCCGGAAGCGCAGGAGTGGCAGGGAAGTCCTCTTCTCCTGTGTTCTGCTGCCCCCACGGATGCCTCCGGGTCCCGGCCTCCCATGGGTGTGGCTGTCACAGAGAAGAATGGGAGGAGGAAGCACGGCTCAACACACACAACACCCCAGGAGACCTAGAGACAACCTCCGGAGGAAGAGAAAGTGCACTGGATGTCTGAATTCCAAGAACCAGGAGAAAGGAGCGCCCACATCAGCCATCTTTATTATGCACATTCTGGAGGAACCCATTCTGCATCACCGCGGAACCAACTAGCTGCAGAAGTGGAGGCGGCGTGATTTGTTCCTGAGGTGGCCACCTTGACTGCAGCGCTCCAGGGCCAGGCGCCGCCGGCCGGCTGGGCAGCGGGGCTTCCTGCGGAGCCCAGCCCAGCCTGGAGTCCCGGGGGCGCGGGGGCGTTGGGATCCGCGGCTCCTGGCCACACAGAGGAGGCGGTCCCTGGGCTTCACCGGGGCAGGCAGCCGGCTACAGGGTCAGGCCGAGGCAGCGACACAAAGTTCATGGGGCAGAGCAGCAGGGGGCACATCTTCTCGTGCTCCTTCAGCTCCTCGCTCAGGTGCTTCAGCTCCTCCGTCAGCTTCCCGATCTCCCTCCTCAGCACCGTGTTCTCCTGCTCCAGACACTCGTACTCCTGGGGAGGGCGGAGAGTGAGCGAAGCCATTCCGGAAACCTCCCTGCCGCCCCACCGGCCCCTCTGGGATCCCTCATATCGGTTTGTGTCTTAGCATCTCTCCTCACAAGCAGGACAAGGTCGTGCTTTCTTTGTTTGGGTTTTTTTTTTTATACCAACCTTACTGAGGGACATACAAAGCAAAACCAGTAGCCAGCAAGTTGATTCTAACCCACGGTGACCCCCTTTGTGGCAGAGTATAACTGAGCACCCTAAGGTTTTCATGACTGGGACTGTCCGGAAGCAGATCACCAGACCTTTCTTCCGAGGCACCCAGGCACGGGATGAACCACCAACCTTTCTGCTAAGAGTCACTTACCCCTTAGAACTACCAAGAGGCTCCTTAAACGAACCGACTAACAAAACAAACCCAGACACACTGCCGTTGAATCGATTACAAATCATCACAGCCATGCAGGACAGAGTAGAACACACTCCCCACCCCATCGAGCTTCCAAAGCTTCCAAGGGAACACTGCCACTTTGTCCTCCTGAGGAGTGGCGAGTGGGGTTGCGCTGGCCCTGATCACAGCACCTAGCTGAGTGGCGCCCTTCATTCTGTGTTCTCATCAATCTTGTATCACATTCAAGTTCACTGAGGATAAATAATGTCTCTCCCCAGTTACAGACATGTTTAGCTCCTAGAGCTTCAGCTCCCGTCCCTGGACCCCTCCTGATGGACAGTGCTGGTGCCCACATGATTAAGGGCCCCTCAGCCTTGGTCCTCTGTCTCTTCTAAGCCTCTTCCTTCTCTCCTGCCCTCTCAGAGCACCTTCCCCCTTCCCCGTTCAGAACCTAGGGGCCCACAGAGATTGCATACAGAGGCCACCTAAACCATCCCTCGGCTTCCTGCCCACCCCTGGCAGCCCCTTCCGCTGTGAGCTGGACCCCTCTCCCAGGCAGCAGGCCTCCCACCTTCTCCCCAAGGGTGTCCTGGCCATCCTCGCTGGGACACAGGCCCACTCTGCTGCCCTCATTCCTCCTCCATGCCGGGCACCCCCACCCCTCATGCTCTGCTTTGGCCTCTAACAAGCTCTGCTCCTGGAGTCTGAATCCAGGATTGACATTCAGCCACAGAGTCCTCTATGGCAAAGGGAGGGTCAGGATATGGGGATGAGGATAGTGACTGAGGCATCATGGGAGGCCTGAGTACGGCAGAGGGTGAGAGAGGCTGCAGCTGCTGCACACACACCACAGACACACACACACACACACACACACACACATGCAGATGTACACACAGATAAATGTGTGTACGCATACATGCATGCATGCATACAAGTGCACACGCACATATGCACACGTGTCACCCTGCAACTGGAAACTGCCCTTCTCCTTGAAGTGGAATGGAGGACAATCTGGATGGTTCCAATGAGCTAACATTTTCATTAGATTCCAAAGAACAGGAACCATGTTGCCCTGGGGGGCCCAGAGGGTAAGCAGTCAACAAGCAGCTGAAAGGTGGGAGGTTCAACCACACCCAGAGAAGCCTCAGAAGTAGGGTCTAGTGATGTTTCCAAAAGGTCACAACGTTGAACACCCTCTGGGGCCCAGTCCTACTCTGCTCCCAGCAGGGTTACTTCAACACCAACTTGCAGCAGCAAGTGGCGCACCTCTCAGAGAACCGGGTGCAAATCTATCCCAGGCTGAGCTTCCTAGAGGACACTGCCACACGTTCACCAGACCCGAAGGACAGGAAGCCGTCTGCTCAGCACAGAGTATTCCAAGGTGCCTTTCATGTTTCCTGAACTCTGTGGTGAGAGGAGCCAAGAGGGGTCCTGTGCCCAGTGCCCTCCTGACGTGTCATGCCTGCCCCCAGACCTCAGCCCCAAAGGGGTCAGGGCTGCCTGGCCACCAGCTGGCCCCACATTTGCTTGCTCTTTTAGCGCTGTCTCTTCTGGGACTGAACGGTTACTCATCAATCTGTTGGTGGGCTTTTATCAGGCTGAGGAATAAGAAGATGAGAAGTCAAAACCTTTTTTCTACAAAAAAAACGGAGACCAATGGGGTACCTGCAGCCTACAGCAGGCCAGAGAACACCACAGGGCTGCAATCAAGGGGGGGGTGCTGCTTTCACAGTAAGGAGCCATGCACTGGACTTCACACAAGTGGGAAATAAGCAAAGAGCAGGGGGCCCTTTGTTATGTCCTAAGAAGATGATCCGTTTTGTGCAAATCCTGTGAGTTTCGAACCCTTTGCCATGGGGGATGGGGGTGGCGGTGGGGTTGAGGTCACTGTGCTGCCAGGAACAAGCTGCAAGCAAAGATCTTAAGAGGAAAGATGGTGAAATCGCTGCAATGCCCAGCTGTGTCTAGGGCTTTGGTTCTCAAGCCCCAGGGGCTCCCTGGACCCCACCCCCACCCCGGGACATTTGGCAATTCTGGAGACATTTTTGGTTGTCACAACTGGACAGCTGGCATCTACTGAGTAGCAGCCAGGGATGTAGTTAAACCTCCTCTCATGCACAGGGCAGCCCCCTCACGTGGATATTTATCCAGCACCAATGGTGCCTCTATCCAGAAAGCCTGGTGTGGCATGGGAGACTGGTCATCAGGGAGCTATCGGGCTCCAGGGCCTCCCTGGGGTGGAGGAAAGACTCAGGGTCCAGTAAAGACATGAATATGGATACCAGGGACCAGACATGATAATTAAGGCAAGAAAGAAAGAATTAAAGAAGAGGCAGGAGCCAGGAGAAGGGAGGGATGGGGCAGAGGGGAGACAAAGAATCACATATATGGAGGGTTTAATAGGATCTTGTTTGGGATTTCATTTCTTGAGTATAGTATGCTCCTTTAAAACCGAAACAAAATCCCTCCCAATTCCTTATCCCTCACATTGAAATAGTGGTTTGAGTGGCTTAAAAAAAAAAAAAAAGAGGAAAAGTAAAATGAAAATGGACTTGGTGTTTTTAGTAACAAGTTCACCTCCAACCAAAAGGAAAGGTCACCAGGGGGACACAGGACCACCCCAGGCCCCGCTCTCAGGGTGAAACAGAGGCTCTGAAGGATGCGAAAGCTTTTCCAAGGTCACACAGACTGGAGACCAGGTCCTTGATTTCAAGGTCGACTGCCACTCTCCTGCAACCATGGCAATTCTGCTTGCTCTTGATGTGACCAGGGCCCCGATTTCCCCGTGGTGGTTACCAGCACCACAGGGCTTCAGAGCCCAGGATTTTACAAGAAGTCCGTTCCCAAGCCTTGAGTGGATGACACTTCCCAGCAAGAAAATTGTGTCACCAACCGAGGCTGTACAAATTAGTGTCATAACCACTTTCTAAACCAAGTGGCCCTGACATGAAGCACTCTCCCAGAGCATGCAATGTCTGACAAAACCACGGCCGCCCATACCACAAGCACATTGCCCAAGCCCGGGTCGGTTTGAGACACTTGGGGCTCTTTAGGGTGGCATCACTGCCTCCCTTGTCTGACTCAAAATCCGTTCTCAGTCTTACACCTTTGGGTGCCTGGCTCGAACCGGTCTGACCCACTTCTGAGCCCCTTTCTGCCTGTCTCAGAGGCCTTGGCTACTCATTTGGTTCCCATATGGGGCAGTGGACTTGAGCTTGTGCCTACAGTTAGAGATGAGTAGCAGCTGAAATCCCCATGCGAGGTCTAAGCACATGGAAGGGATGATTGGAAAACCCACAGTGAACCCTGAGGGGCAGACACGTCTTAGGAATGGCTTCTCATCATGACAGTCCAACTTCCAGCAGCCAGACCCTGGAGAGAAGACGTCGAATGAAGAGGGAGAGGGTACAGCCTACCCTACCCTTGGAGAGGGGGCCACCTTGATGGGCAGCCTTTGGGCTTTGGTGACGGAGACCTAAAAGCGAAATGGAGGTGGAGGAGAGAAACTCAGTGGAGCTGGGGATGGAAGAGGAGGTACCTAGGTGTTGATGTGTGAGAGGCACAAGAATAGTTGGCGTGTGGAAGCAGGAGAGAAATGGAAAATTTAACTAATCCTGAAATAGTCCCCTTTGTGGTATTCAAGAAAGGCAAGTAAAAAGCACCGGGAGTGGGTGGGGGGTGGGGGGTGCAGTTCACGTGCTTGGCTGCTACACAAAAGGTTAAAGGTTCAGGTGCATCCAGAGAAAGGCCTGGCGATCTACTTCCCCCAAACCAGCCACTTCGAAGCCTCCTGGAGCACACTTCTATTGTGATAACATGCAGCTGCCAGGAGTGGGGATCGGCCTTATGGGAACTGGTAGACATGGCATAGGAATCGCTAAGAGGCTTGCCGCCTGACCTACAATGTTCAGGGGTGCTCTGTCCTCACCCCACTGCACACTGCAAAATGGTTCTTCATGGTTTGTCTTAACCAGACACCCCATCTCAACATGTACATTTTTTTCCAAAGTTGAAAAAAAATCATGATGCAACGACATTCTACCATCCAAACAGTTGGCCGTTCGGAACACAGAAGCCCATAACTGGCACGTCAACCTGGAGGGATGCTGGGAGCAAACCAAGAAGGGATGATGCCCGTGGTGTCTTCCATCCAAAGGGGATGTTCCTCTTGTGTGGTAGCAAGTTCGAGACAATGGGTTTCCAGTTTCCTGCGCCCGCCATCCATTCCCTCACACCCTCCATGACCCTTGGCCCTTATGAGTCATTAGTTCGGGGAAAGACATGACCTACAGCTTTGGGTTCGACCTACAGGGGAAGTCACAGTCCAGGTCTCCCTGGCGGCTTTTCAATAAGACTGGCCTTGCTGCGGTGATCTGTCAATAGCCCCTAATTTGATCCATTCTTCCTGCTCCACAGAGAGCCGGGCAGGTGGGACCTTCCAGATCGGTAGCCTCATTTCTGTGCATATGGTACAGTCTACGGGGAGAGGGGAGACTATGGTACAGTCTACGGGGAGAGTGGAGACTATGAGTCTTAGGACTGGGCCCTCTCTCTACTCCGTGGGTCTGTGGATAACAGATGTGGCAAAATCTCTAGTTTCCACAGCACCTGTTTC